ACACACACAGCAGAGTAAACATGGATAGCATCTAAGGAAGACAGCTGCCATCAATCCCCAACCTCCACATGGGTGAACACAGAGGCATGTTCTCACATGTATACTCGCACATACATACACACACACACACACACACACAGAGCAGAATAACAACATGGATAGCATCTAAGGAAGACAGCTAACATCAGTCTCCAGCCTCCACACATGGGTGAACACGGAGGCATGTTCTCACATGTATACTTGCACACACACACACAGCAGGGTAACATGGATAGCATTTAAGGAAGACAGCTAACATCAGTCTCCAGCCTCCATACATGGGTGAACAGAAACATGTGCACATACACAAACAGAGAACAAGAGTGTGGCACGTGTTCATACACATGGGCATACACACACACATTCACACACACAGGGGAAACATGCTCACACATACACAGGCACAACTGCGGTTAAGTTTTATTACAGAGTATAATCTTACTGAAATACTCTTAACACAAGCAAATATATAATGTCTGCTTTCTTCTGTAGCAAGTTCCTAAATTCTATACATGTTACCTTTATCAGTAGAGGAAAATTTTCATCTCTCTTGGGCGTGGCAGCTCATGCCTTTAATCTCCACACTGGGGAGGCAGAGGCAGACAGATCTCTGTGACTCTACAGCGTGAGTCAGGCCTGCCGTGGCTACACGGGGAGACCCTATCTTCAGAACAAATGAAACAGAACAAAATTCCATTTATTACTACTATGTGTGGCAGGCAATTATTGAATAACCTTTCTTTCCATACTACTTCAAAATAAATATACATCCATCAAAGAGCAGCTTTTAAAACTTGGCTCTAGATTAAATAAAAGTCAACAGAATATTTAAATCCAAATATTGCCAAGAGGATCTATTTAAAAAAATAGCTTTTGATAGAACACTGGCATCATTCATGTGTTCCTTTGTGAAGAGAAATTTAAGTATGATTTCATTTTAAAATTTCTTCTCAAGTAGAAACACAATCTGGGGGACAAAACAAAACCTCCTAGGCTTTGGAGTCCAACAGAGCCGGTGAAATTGGTGTCTTCTTATCCACCATTTAACCATGTGGAAGGGGAAGGCGTACAACTGCTGCACCAGAGTTTCCAGTGTTTAGAATTCATAAAGTGAGGAGGATAAACTCTAACTTCCAGGGTGACAAAGATCAAGAGAAACACGGCTGAGCACCTAGCATGCTCCTGGCAGATCATAGATTCTCAACAAACCAGCTGCAGCCGTAATCACTGTAACTGATTGCATATTAAATCTTGACGTGTATGATTCGTAGGTCCTCGGTTCTTGCTCACTTAGTCTGTCTCCAGACAGGCTCCTGTGTATCTCGGAAGGATAACCTTGAACCAATCCTCCCTGTTCCTCCCGAGTTCCTGGGTTGTGGGAAAGTTCCACCGTGCCCAGTTTATGTGGTTCTAGAAAACAAATCCAGGGCTTCCTCCAGGCTCTTGAGAACCGGGCTCCATACTCCGTACCCCTCAGCCAATTCTTACAAACTCTTTCCTTCACAGTGCATCTCCCGTCAGTACTTCACCTGAAATTGGGAACAAACATCCTGTTCACTAGCAGGAAAGACACCAGATCGACATCCATCCTTGGATCACCCGGTCCCACTCTTTACCTAGTCTCCTGCTGGGTAAAGCATCCCCAGCACCCTTCTCCAATCTGACTTCAACTAAATTCATTCACAGCTTTCTTTACTTTGGGGGAGGGGGGAGTTCGAGACAGGGTTTTCCTGTATCTTTGGAGTCTTTCTTAGAACTAGCTTTGTAGATCAGGCTAGCCTTGAACTCACAGAGATCAGCCTGCCTTTGCCTACTGAGTGCTGGGATTAAAGGTCTGCGTCACCACCACTACCTGGCTTCTTTTTACTTTTCATTTCAAGCTCAGATACAAGATCTGGGTACCAGGACAGGCAGGTATGACAAGAAGGAACAAGGCACTGGTTTTAAAAGGACTAGTGGACTGCCCCAGAGAAAGGAGCATCTTCACTACACAACAGTTTCCTTGCCTACTTGAACACACACGTACATATATGTATGTATGTACGTGTGTGTGTGTGTGTATAATCGTTAATTTTTGCAGTATGGCTAGCTGCTTTCAGCTTTTAGTGCTGAGGATGCTGGAACCCAGGTCCTCACAAACACAAGGCAAGTGCTCTATTACGTGTGTTTCACTGCCCCGAGACTGGAAGCCAGGGTCTAGCAGTGTAGCTCAGCTGGAAGAACGCTCACATTCTAGAGTGCCCAAGGCTCTGGCCTCCATCCTCAGCATCACCTGCAAAAGCAGGGATAGCAGTGCATGTTTGTATGTCAGCAAAGAAAGTAGAGGCAGGAGGACCAGAAGTTAAGGTCATCCTCAACTACACAGGGCATTTGAGTCTGCTCTCTGCCACGCGAGAACATGTCTCAAAAAAAAAAAAATCAGTTCTCCCTTTGACTCTGGAACACTATAGTGATGTGCTTTAACCAACAGATTATGGCATCTGTAACATCCCAGAACATCCAGGAATCGGGGTCTATAAGACACTTTCTAAATTGCCCCTATTTCGGGCACTTCTGTGTGAACCTAGCACACACACAATGAAAGTCCCAAGTCACACATGTGCTCCAGTTGTGGCCTCCAGGACACTCAATAGATAGGCATCATCAATCCCAGCCTGCTAGGAACCATCTTGAACTCCAGTTCAGTTGAGTTGTAAGGAGACCGCAGCTCCAGCGTCAGCTGGCTGCAACCGCGTGGGTGACCAGAGGATGGCTAGCAGACCCCTGGTCAGCCCTCACAGAGCCACCAGCCAGGAGCAAGCTGTGCTTGTCCTGGGTTGCCATGGCAATGCTTGTGGAGGTCAGAGGACAGCCTGGTTCGCGTTTCTGCTTCTATATGGCTTACTCCAGGAGAGCTGGCTGGTGAGTTCCAGGGCAGTTCTCCTATCTCTGCCTCCCATCTCACCGCGGGAGCGCTGCGATTACAGATGCGAGCCGCTATATCTGGCTTTTTATTCGGATTCCGGGAAACAAACTCGGTTCATTCAGCTTGTGCAACTCGCACTTAACCTGCTGAGCCATCTCCTGGGCTCCAAGCTGAACATGGGACAATAGGCTATACAAAAATCAGCGAGAAGAACATCTGGCTGTTCTCCAGGGCAATGGACTTGATGACTCATGGATCCAGGCTTCTGACAGCTGTTCCTCATCCATCTCTCTCCTCTTTTTCTGTTCATTTCCACCAAAAAGTCCTAATTATCAGTGCCAACGCTGTTAGCAGCCACATCAAGTCATTTTCAGTTTTTCAAGACACAAGTGTTTTTGCTTCAAAATACATTTATGTACTCCAAATGTACCGCACCCCAAATATATGTCACCATGATTCAAAATTACGTGCAGTGATTTGGGGAGTAGAGTGGTAGGCATACATAGCTCCCTGTCCAAAAGCATGTCCAGGCCGCATTCTCTTGACCAAAGAATTACCACCTTCAGCATGTAGAAAGAACTTTAAAGACTGTTCCAGACCTCCAACTGTCCACGTGTACCGTTCCTTTGACATTCATGGGTCTGTCACTTTGAGGATGCACCTGGACAAATGAATATTCCTCTCTGAGGGCCAAGCTTCTGCTGAGTTGGGCAGCCTAGAGGCAGCCTTGGGGCATATGAGGAGCCTGCTAGGAGGATGTGGCACGGACATCATGTGCCTAGAAAAGCCTCTGTTGATCAACAGGAAGTTAACCTCTTAGCCTCCTGCGAGATTGTGTGGATGAGGAAGTGTGCGCTCCCAAGTGGCTCAGTCAAGGACAGCATCCAACAGATCCAGCAGGGAAAGAGGAGAAATGGAAAGATGGCTTCCTGTGAGAAGAGGAAACTCTTTCTTCCCCTCTACCGCGGTTCTCTCATCTCCTTACCACATTTAAGCAGGCAGATTTTGTAAGATGGTACAGGAGGAGCCCTGGCTGGTGAGGACCATGGGTGGGAGACAAATGCGCCTGCAAGCAGAACTTAAGTGAGGGGTTTGTTGAGAGAAGGGTAAAGGGGAGGGAGGAGGGGAAAAGAAATACAGAGAGGGAGAGGAAGAAGAGACAAGGACCAGCCTGCCTCTTCAGATGAGCTGTGGTGGTGGTGGGAGGAACAGTATTGGGTGGGGCTTGTCTCTTAAAGGGACCTTTGCATCTGTGAGTAGCAGCCATAGGACCCCTGGACTGGCCAGGGTACTGCCTGGGTTCATCCTGCTGCATGACAGGGACCAGCAGAATGCCTGAATCCTAACATTCCCTTCTTTTTCTTATTATAAAAGTGGGGGAATTAAGGGGATAGCAGCTGACACAGGAATGGGGCGCCGGGTTCTCAAGACTGCTTCCTGCTGACTTGTGGGTGTTGAAGTCTTGGACCTGAGAAAGCTGGGGTGCTGGCCGTGTCCTGGAGTAGCTGGTTTTTTCCCTGCTGTCCAGGCCCTGTGGAACTGTCCGTTGTCTCTTGGACATGGCTGAAATTTGTGTTGTAGAAACGGCAGTGTACTCACATCAGAAGTGATGGTGACAAACGTGTTTTGCACAATGAAAAGTGTCTTTGAGGTCTACAGTTAGAAAACCAGCAAAGGGAATTTAAACTCTTAAGCTTATAGCTATGGGGTAGTCCTCTGTCAGGGTTGGATTAATAGCTCATTAGAACTTTATTGATTAATGTTGACTATAAACTTAATTTTCATGAGAGAGAAATCTGATAACATGCATTTGTACACCTCAAAACACTTTCTTATACCCTGAAACACTCTTAGATCCCCACACCTCCTCACACCTTAAGCTTTGTATCCTAAAACACCTTTTATTTAAACCAAGGAAAGGTAAGATAAGAAGCTATGCTGAAATCTGTTCTGAGAGTTTGTTCCTTTTAAACTGGCAAAGCTACCAGCCATCCAACTGCCTCAGAGTTGTCGAGGAGGATAAA